CCGTTGGGCGCTCGCGGCGCCGCCCTGAGGCGCCCGCCGGGGCCGCGAGCCCCACGCGCCTCCCCCGAGCCCAAACCGGCCCCCTAGACACCTCCGCAGCCCCCCAGGAGCAGCTCGTAGGAAACACGTGGGTTTTACCATTCAGCTCTGCGCCAAGGCAGGTAGACCATCTAAATCATTAAAACACTAAACAAATTACTGCACCAAAGAACTGCTTTTTTAATTTTTTCCCCTCTCTCATTCAAAACTGAATCATGAAATCTGACATCAAAAAAAAAGTCAGCATTTAGTATGATTTTATTTGTCCTCAGCATAAAATACGATAAAATTGCTACAAATAAAGGAAACTTTGATTTTTAGATAATACAGAACAGTCCAGTCAATGGCAAAATGCCACAGTACCAATATTTACAGGACACAACAGCACAGCCTGGTGGCAGCAAACGCGATAGTTACTCTACAACTGGAAAGTCATTGAAGTCTGTGACATTCCACTGTAAATATATGTGTTGTTAAAAATTACAAACTGCCCTGTAATGACTTTGATAACCTCCTGAGCAGCAGCTCCTATGAAAAAAGGGAGAAAAAATAAAAAGGAGATAATGTACAACGGAGTTTACAAGTTATATTTTAAAAACCATGAAAGAATTTCATCTAGAACTCAAAACACTGAAATTTGGACAAGGCTTGCTACAACTCCTGGGTAACAATTCCTGGGTAAAACACTTGCTGACACAAAGCAGTCTGAAGAAGCTCGTTGCTTCATAAGTTAGTTTCACATACATTTTAATATACATATTTTCTACATACTGTAAATATCCGATCAAGGCAAGTAAAAAACTTGTGTGCATGCATAAACTAATACAAATTGTTATCCTTCTAAAGGACTGAAATAGAGAAGTTTAAGTTAGGTGTAATTAATTTTCACCCTTTGTTCTGCAAAATAGCAATTACTGGTTTTGGCTCCTGCAACATGAAATACTGGGTAATTTCTTCAGAAGTTTTTTTTATGTATCTCTCTAAAGCACTCCATTCAAGATCCCAGTTCAAATTTGTCACTACTACAGGTCTTCGTTTGCTTGCTCTCTAATGATCTAACAAACGTCAGAAATAGAGGGGCATTCTTACCTCCCATGAACGCAGCAATGGCGTGGGGCTCAGCAGCTCCATAGCGACAACTGGGTAGCAGAGCAACAATTAGTATTTGCAGGTCAGTTTAATAGACAAGAGAAAGCGACAATCGTCATTCAGCACTTACAATTCATGAACATAGTCATCCTTGACTACTACAGATAAGCCATGTTCTTGTAGAAAATTAGTGAGGCAAGATTTCAGTTTTCCAATATCATCCTCTACCTGGTAGTTGTAGACACCTGGAAAATAAATTGTTTCATCACATAACTGTAACACTACCTCAAAAATCAATGGGTTTAAGTGGCAATGTACACATTTTATGTTTTTTTAAACTATTTCTAAGATGATGAATATAATAAGCTTGCAATACTAAATACTGCACTTACTAAATATTTCCATTGATGGCATTCATGGTAAGAAATTACTGCATAGCTGGCTTAACTCACAACACACCAGTACTATCAATCCAGAAAAATTCCTCAAGTTTCCAAATAGAAGGACTTCTCACTTTAACTTTTGCACTGAAGTCATATTAATGCAGAAACACAAATAATTAATTTATAGTTTATACCTATCATTGCAATACTTAGATTTTTGTATTTCTTATACATCTAACTGGTATTAACTTACCTGGGTATCTACCATGCTGCTTATAAAATCTATCTACAGCTCTCAGCATTAAGTACAGAACTATTTCATTGTCTGGGTTATCCATATGGGAAACTGAAAAACAGGGAAAAAAGCTGTTAGGTAGTAATAACTGAAAAATAATAATAAAAGATTTAAAATTAGTTTTAAAAATCCAGTATTTCCCGTGTGCTTAAAGTGTAAAAGCTTTTGTTATCTTCTCTGCAGGAAACAAGATCTTAATTTAAAAAAACAAAAACACCCTGCAACCAAGATTCTCAGCTGAGTCGACTGTCAAATACGAAATTTTGAATCCAGAGGGTGCATGACAAAATATGTTTTCTGTAACCTCTGGTAATTTAAAATTGAAAATATACATTCCAACTTTGCCAACTGCTATAACTTTAAATGAGATATTTCATTAGTTACCACTTTATTTTCCATGTATGCTTTAAATACTTAATTGTAATGACTGTAAATAAATAACAGTTTTAAGTCCTTATGATACTGCTCAATATTCTCCAGATTCCAGTGTTCTGAAAGTGGCTAAGACAATTGTTCTCAATTTGATGCTAATGTGAAAATAAATATACAGGAGATACGGGAATGTTTAAAAACAGACTTTTATCTACATAGTATCAAAAACAAAACATGTACAGGCATAAGGTCATTTTTGAGGTTTCAAAGTAAAGCTAAATCCAATATTCTAGACTTATTAAAATGACATATCTAGAATACTACTGATGGCAAATTATAAATTGCATATTGAAGTAGAAAATGTAACACAATTATCACAAAGTTGAAAATGCAATTACAGCACATGCAAAAAAAAAGGGAGTACTTACTAATCTCATCCTTGTTAAAAGTGTTTAAACCATATTCTTCAGATAGAGATCTGCATCGCACTACTCGAAGAAAGGCTGAATTGCTGCCTGTGCAGAAGGAGCAGAAAGTAGAACATTACCACTCAAATGCATCATTAATTACTATGTGCCCATATCATTTATTAAATATCAAAAGTCTAAAACTTATCATGGGTAGTTTTGTTTAACCCTTTTCCTTCTCATTTTTGGGGGATTTTTTTTTTTGGTAGCTCAAATGTTATTAGACTACAGGCAGATCACAAGTATTTTAGCAAAATATTTACTTCTGGAATCTAAATATATCTGTTGTGTTAACATAAAGACTCACAATGTGTGACTCCTTTATAGCAATTCATGGATCACAGCCACCAGCTTCATGTTTTCCTCTTCCATGCTACAAATGAACATGGTTTCTTTTTATCTTCACCCATATCTAACACCATCTGACATTCTCAGTTGATATTCTAACAGTGCAGCTACAAGAGGGAGATCTCTACCAGTATCAATTATATGAACCAAAAAAAAAAAAAAGCATCTATTAACTCAGCACTCAAAAATTAAGAGCTCCAAAAAGTTCTCAGGAACTGAAAAAAAAAAAAAAAAAAAATTGTGTAGGGGAAAAATGTTCTGGCCTATCTGCTTAGTGGCAAATTTTCCACTTGCATGGAGACTCAAGACAGCTGTATGGACATTTATACATATCCATACGAGACACAACCCAAATTTTCATAAGCAGTATTGGACCTAAAGAAATGTATCTAAGTTTTTATTGTGGTTAAGGCATATGGAATGCATCTGCCACCACAAACTTTCATGAACTGGGGGTTACTGAACATCTGAGACTTCCACTAGTGATGGCAGATGCAAGATACCAGGAGACACTGAACACTGTCCTTGAAAAATAAATATTAAGCTAATAATAAATACATAATCATTCAAAACTTCTTGAATATTTCATCATCTGTTTAAGCATAGCCACAGAACTCAAATATACTTACAAAGCAACTTCAATTCTCTTTCAGAAATTGACTCAGGTGCCTAAAAGAAAGAATATACCCGACAAACAATTATTAATCTGTGTTAAGATATATCAGTGTACTATGAAATAACTATGCTTTTTTAACAAAAGATATTAAAAACTGCAACTAATATTACTCCCTATACTTTTTACTTTCATTTTACATTATTACATCAAAATCGAGAAATAGGTAGACCATAAATACTGTTAAGTTACATTACAACTTTCTAAGAGAATGAAGTATTCTTGTAACCATTCTTGTATCTGATTCTTTTGACAAGTCTCTGCACATGCATCACAGTTTTTTTTAGAAAGACTCGACAATACCTTGCCTAGTGACTGTAACAGTTTAGCAGCATGGTTGCCCACAGCAGCAATATCTTTCTTTGCTTTTTCACGGTATCTGTTAATAATAAAAATAGCTTTATTGATGACAGCATAAAACTATCAGTTTAAATTTACTATAAAGACCATTCCTTTTTGTTTTATGTTATAAAGACACAACCATCATGAATGGAAATGAACAACCTAAAGAGGGTTACCACCAACTTACAACCATGTTCTGCAGAGGCTCTCAACTGTTCACTAAACATGCAATTTGAAATCTACATGCATAACAGATCATAGCAGCCAATTAATATTAAAAAGAGTACTACAGGCAGAGGAATATAAAGAAAATGGATCAGAACAAGTAGTTATTGGCCTTGGCCTTTTATTACAACTATTCTTAGGACGGAACATTTATCAGGGATTTTACAACTTATAGAGCTTACCTGAAATATGAACTAAAGCAGATAGTGATTTTTCAAGTGATTTTTCGACTGCTTTTTATTTGATATAAAAAGGTTTCCAAGATTCCATCTGCTTTGTGAGGTCTGAAGTAATCACTGTTCATTATCATTAACAAAAATATTGAATACTTACACATTTTGCAATTTGATAAATTTACTAGAATCTGCTATCATGTCAGGAATAGTGCCCCGAACAGGTAAGCTTCCTTGCCCCTCATTTGCCACAAATTCCTTCACTGCTCGAGTCAAAATCCAAAAGGAGGATGACTGCAAGTGTACAACAGACAGTCACATATACAAGTGTTATAAATAACCTTATTCCTACATTTAACAGTTTTATCCTTACTTATTCATTACCTGCTCTGTGAGATTGATGCAACAATCATCGTTAAAAATCTCTTCAATACACCTTGGGATCTATGAAAAAAAAAGTTAGGTTTGTATTGACTTGAATTTATGTCTTGAATTATTTTAAGATTTATTACACAGATGATCTAGTAGTGAACTCAAGAGTTTCAAAACAAATTAATCTCTTCTGAATGTTATTTACTTGAAAAAAATTAAATAGCATTGCCTGAAAATAAGATACACATTTCTGATCAAATAGAATACTTGAATCTCACATTATTTACCTCCTTGTAGTGGAGGAAAGTCTATAAAGTATTAGCAACCTCACTACAAGTTAATACCAGTCCCAGCTGCTCATCCTACCTGCCAGAGGAAGGCAGCAAAAATGGAAACCCCACGGTCAGAAGATTGCAAGGGTTCCAACTTCTTAACTACTGCAGTTTAGCATCTGGTGTACGTATTGAGAGACAGTGCCAATATCCTGGGACATGGATTGTAGTGACTCACACCCACGTGAAGTTTTATTTGCCACTTTCCTGGAAAACCTAGCTTTATGTCCTTAACAAAAACCATAGGTCTATCCTAAATATAATGAGCTATTACCTCAGAATTAAAAAAAAAAAAAGACACCTCAATTTTACTGAATTTGCTGCCCCAGAAGACCCCTCCTGCCCTTCACTTATATACAGAATATTCTATACTTCTGTATATAGCAACATATACTTCTGAATATACTTCTGAATATAGCAACAAGCTCAACATAGTACAACTTCAACAGTTACTTTCCAAGTTTCTCTTCTAATAATCACATACTAGATTTTATTTTGTAAAGAAAAGCAGATGAACTGTAAATTTCTAAGGACACATTGCTAATGAACTCTGGATGCTGACTTTTCTATACTTGAATTCAGTTCACGAAGAGTGAAAAGAGATTTGCCCTAGGTTACAGTACTATCTAATCCAATCTATTTTACACAGCATGATTTAAACTTCAAATTGTACTACTCCTGTTTTACCTAAATATACACCTTACAAGTGTGTATTTACAGGTGCAAATCTGTGGATAATACTATTTGAAAAATCAAGCGGTTAATATTTCCAGTTCTTTAAAAACTTCACATTTCTGATACTTATTTTTACCTTTGTAGTATTTAGTGCTGTGTTCACATTTTTTATAGCTTCTTCAAAATTCTCTTCATCTTCTGGGGTCCCATTTTCATTCTTCAGGATACCTTATTTAGGGGGGGAAAAAAATCAATACAGAATTCCATTAATTCCATCTTATGTTTTACCGATGGACCAGATTATTTTTTATCTGTATCTCTTACTGACAAATGAATATTTTGCTCATATGTCAATATGCCACAATACCTTGTCTGATCAGTTGTCTGAAAGCTTCTTTTTCTTTGTAAGTCTTAGGCAATTGATCACTTTTCTAAATTGAAAAACACAAGAGAGATTTTATTTGTCTTTAAAATGTCTAATACTCACCTCATGGTGTTCAGACTACTTAAATTTAAGAGTATGTCAAGTTTAGTTACGTCCACTTTGATTTCAATCAGTAATAATATAAATTTGAAAAAAAGTCTAAAATATTAATCATAAAGTATATTGATGACTTATCCTGGACTTATCCTGTTTTGCAACATACCTCATTGAACCATTTTGTTAGATACTTGGCTACAATCACAATCCATGGAGTGTGGCTATGGTCCTGTAATTGAACAGAGAAATCTTTGTAAAATTTAAGAGCCAAGATAGAAGACAAATTAACAACCTTCTTTAAAGGTAAGTTAGCATTAGAATAATAATCCTTCTTGTACTTAACCAGACACAACATGCCACAGAGTTTGATTCAGAAATAATAATCCCTAACTATTATAAAAACATATCACAATCGCTTTAGTTTAAATGGCTGTTGCTGAAGCAAGTCCTCCAGAGTTTATCCAATGAAGAACTTACATTATGCACAAATGCCCACAGTACAAAGCTCAGGACCAGCAAGTAATCATAAGCAAAAAAAAAATGTTCATGAATATTCCATATTTCCTAAGATTCCCATTGCTTAAGACATAAATACAAACATTTGAGGCTTAAAATGGTTCCTCGCGACTGATTCTGCAGTTGCCTCAGCACAGATAAAAGAAATAATCTGCTAAGAGCCATTTTCACAGAATACTTGTGCTATGTCTGCCTTTGTCTTCAGGGCACATAAAGCAAATCACAAACCAACCTTTTTATCCATCTGCTCCAAGTCATAGGACTGAATATGTTCCTTCAGTTCTGGAAATTGTTTGTCCAGTCTCAGATCTTCTAACGCATTGTCAGGGTGAGATTCAACAACTATGAAAAAGTTAAACATCTATTTCATGTTGTTATCCTCAGCCCTCAAAACAGAGCTGCACATTAAATGCTATTGAATTCTTAAGTGTTTTGTAGCAGCTTAATGTCAGAAGAAAATATTGTTTTACTATAGAGGAATTAATAAATTACTAAATACTTCACAAGGATGAAATCACTAAGAAACAGAAGCTTAAAAAAGAAAGATAAAAAAGGAAGTCTTAACTTCATAAAGCTCCCGTACCTGGATGTTCTTTAATAATGACTCTCATATACCCAACCAGTCCATAAGTCCTGCACACCAGGAGAGGAATGTTAGAGTTCCAGAGAAGTTCAGCTAAACGCAGTAAGGTACTGTAAACAAAAACATGTTTTTTTTTTTTAATTTAGATGCAGAAGAGAAAAACAACAGTTAACCAGAAGAGTTACTTATATAAGCAGCTTTCTGGTATTATGATTTTAAACATGAGTTTATAACATTCTGTAATTGTTTTCTAGTAGCTTATTAATATTAGTCATTTTAATGCTTACTTAAAAATAGACTTTAAATGATTCTTTACCTTTCTGGTAGTTGGGTTGCAACCACTAAGCTAAAGCGATTGAAAAAGGAGGGGTCATTGTCTAGAAGTTTTTCCAGACTCTAAATAATAGTGGAAAAAAAAAAAAAGAGTAAATCTGTGGTAAAAATTTCTGAAAACAGCAAGTTTGTTCAACTTGAAATCAAACATAAGTGTTAAGTGAAGCTAAAAAAATTAGGATGAAATTACAAAACAATATTTAAATATTTAAAACACACATGGACTTCCTGCAAGTACAACCACCTTACTTAAAGGCTAAAACTTAAAAGGTACTTAAACTGAAACATTACAAAGAGAATGTTTAACTTCTCATACTTTTACCATACTATGTAACGCGATGTCTACAAACGTAAGAAAACAAACCTCTTCCACAAAATTTCCAGAAACTTCATTATTCAATTCTTGCAAGAGTTCAGTGGCACTCTGGGCACGATTCTGATTTAAAAACAATTGTTTTATTATCTCAAAGTGCAATTGACGTATTGTATTTGTATTACATATGCTATGCAATAAATAAGTAGAATTCATCATGTATTAAGTTATATTATTCCAAGCCTTATTTATTTGAAGGGGAAACACAGAACAAAAAAAATCCCACCATTGAATAGCATCCATTTAAGACAATTTTTTAAAATGCTTTTTATATTACATTAACAATAGTTATGCCATAGCTGTTTATTAATTTCTAGTTTTGGTGAAGTATTTTGGGGAGTTGCATATGCCCTCAATACTCTCATTTCTGTGATTCCACCCCCACCTCTGCAATCTGGGTTGTGGTTGACTCCCTTCAATCACAATTCTCTTCCACTCTGTTTTTCTAAGATTACTGCTAATTAGGTCTTATTAATTTTTTTTCAGAGTTCAGAATTCAGTTACCAGAATTGAGCTTTTTGTTCTCACTCAGGAGCAAGTAAACAAAAAAAGCAGTCACAGAAAGTTTTATCAAAGAATAAATAGATTTTTAGCCTATATGTACATGCTTTTACCACTGCTTATAATTCTACATTTGAGTATTTACTCAAACTTGTATTCTTGCAATATATCTAAAGTGACATTTGTTACCTCCTTACCTGGCCAATATGGCTTTTTTGGAGAAAGAAACTGAGAAAAGGAGACAAGAAAAGAATAACGTGTCAATTTTTATTTTCAAGAAAATTAAGGTTATCCAACTAGTACTTATTAGATATATCATAGTGCCTCACATACAGCAAAATGTATGTGCTTAAATCTGCTTTTCCCCTCACGATCAGTTTCTTAAGGAAAATTTTCATTGCCTGAGTCACCAATATGTAAAATAAGACACACCAAACTTCTCTAGAAGCAAGTGTCATACTACAGATTCGCTTTCACTAGGTTAATTGAAGACTCATTAGTGCTCATTTCTTCATGTAAAGCAATACCCTTATCCCACACATAACCCCTACTTATGTAGACAGAGAGCTGCTGGTGCACACCTGAACCGTAAAAGAAAATGATGCAGAATAAGCAGACAAATTATTTTTGATTATAATGCTTTGTAAAGACTTTTATTCTTTTCCTAGTTGCATGCAAGCTAATTCCTAGCTAATTTTGTAGCTTTTAAAACACATGATAAATTAAAAGTCATAGTTTCAAAATAATCAATTACCTTATTTTCATCCCTATTAGGTAGGCAATTAAGGTAAACTCTAGTTCACATGTTCAAAGTCAAGCAAAACTGAGGCCTCAAGATGAGAGCAAACACATTTTTTTTTATGTTTATAAACATAAAGTAGACCTGTGTTTTAAACACCAGATATGTGAAGGAAACAGACTTTTACAGTACAAAGCAGCAGCTAAAAAAAGCATATGCCAAATTAAAAAGTTAATATTAACTTGTTCATGATGCAACAACTTATTAAACACATATTACAACTAAAAATACAACTTACAAAAGGCTTGGATAAAAGAGACTTTAAATTTTTAGAGAAATATAAATAACTAAGAAATATATAGATGGTACTTAGGAAACTTCTCGCTATTCTTACTATTTATAAAGGAAACTAATAACAAACTTACTTATTTCCAACATCTTCTCCAGATACCCGGTTCCCATCAACAATTGTGAAAGAGCCAATACCTTATGAAGGAGAACGAATACTATGCACAATTAGGAAGTGTGAACTGTGAAAAATTATTAAGTAATTAGAGAAGTGGGGTTTGTTTTTTCACCTGGTAGCACTAAATTCTTGAGTATTTCAGTTCCTGTGGCTGTTGCGTTTATCACACAAACATGAGCAGATTCTAAAGCTTCCTGTCCATGATCACCCCACAACCTAGGAGGGAATGGAAACAGAAATACTCAGAAACCACTACATTTCAGAAGGTAAAGGCTATACAAAAACAACCACCACACACACAAAAGGCTCTAAAAAACTGAAAACACAGATTGGCAGAGTGTGTGTGTTCACTGTTAAGTACAGTGAGTTAGTGCTTGCCACAATAAGCCTTCATTGCAAAGACCTACTGTGATGAACCCAGAGCCTTTTAAAGAACTACCCCCTTTTACAGAGGCTTGATTTTCTCCAGTTTTATACTTTATGCCATATGAAAACATTTTCCCCCTACTTTAATATACTTTACTTTTTAAAATTGATATAGATCAAAACAACCCTTCCCCAAAGTTTTCCCTGAAAACATCTTAGGCCTCTTCTACAGAGGCATTAATGTAAATGATTCTCGGTTCCAGTCAGGGCCACCAGACGCTACAGGGCAGCGTTACGAGCGGCCCGGGCAGCCGGATGATGAACCCCGCTCAGCTGGGCCGGGGGGCAGCGCGTTCAAAGCGCCGGTCGGGGGCGACCTGCGGCTGACGCGGTGGCGGCTGCACCGCAAAGCACTGCGCCGCGCCGGCCCCGCTGCCCCCTCGCTCCGCACAGGGACGAGCGGCCCCGGCCCCGAGGCGGCCAAGCAGCCGCCAGGCTCCCGGGCGTGCAGCCCAGGCCGCCCTTCTCCCGCGGCGCCCGCGAGGGACCGCCCGGCTGCGGCGGGCAGCGGGCGAGGCCGCGCGGCCGCCCCGCGCTCGGGCCGCCTCCCGCAGGCGGCTCCCCGAGCACGGGCTGCTCAGGCCTCCCGCGAGGGAGGCGCTCGGCAGGGCCGGCCCGGCTGCGGCCGCGGCGCTACCTGAGCTGCCGGTCGTATCTCTGCTCCTTGAGGCTGCCCGGGCCCTGCTGCGCCATGGCCGCAGCTCCCCGGCCGCTGCGCAGGCGCGCGCAGGGCGGCGGGGGCGGCGCCGCGCGGGCCGGGCCGGGCCGGGTCCCGCCGCCTCAGGGCGCTGCGAGTGCCGCTGCCCGAGGCTGCGCGCCCCTCGCTCCTTCCCCTCCACCGCTTTCCCCTGCAGAATCTCTGGCGTCCGCGGGAGGCGCCCGCGCTGCCGCAGGGAATTTATCGGCTCGGGCCGGCTGTGAGAGGAGCTGCCGGGAACGGCGGTGAAAGGCGGCCGAGGCGGAGGCAGCCCCTTCCCCTAGCAGCGCCTCTCTAGAAAGAGGCGGTCGTCTGGGGACTTTGGTCCTCCTCGTGGGTGTTTCTTTTCAGCTCTCAGTCTAGTCTTGGATGAGTTTTGAGGATTTTGTAACCACCTGAGCTGGCCGCCCTTCCAGCACCTTCGTTCAGACCCCTCAGCTCCTTAGGGGCTAGGGCGCTGTCCCCATTGGCCCCTTCGGAAATCACTGTTGGGCCCAAGTTTCTCTGCTCTGAGCACCTTTTCACATCTTTTCAAAGTAAAGCTTGCAAAAGAGAAAGCTCCTGTGCTGTTACCAATTTCAACCAAGATTTTTGTCAATAAATTTAAACAGACCCTTAAGCCACTTCATCATTCCAGCTGATCTGCAACCACATTAAAGTTATTACGTTATCCCTTTAATCTACTTCCATTTAGAAAACCCATTTTGCTATATATCTACTGGAATAAAATATATAGCAGTTCAATTAAAATTTAGTGCTTTATGATGTACAGAGAACATTGCAAGATAGTATGGTACTTCCTCCTTTCTCTTTCCCATATCCACTATCTCCTCCAAGATTCATTTTTCTCAGGCTTTGTGTTTGCTGTCTCACAGTAAATCTTTCCTTCCACTGAAATTTCAGTGACTGTTAAAATATTTAGTAGGAATATTCTGTTTACCAATGTCAAAAGCCAGGTCATTCCATTCTTGCTATCTGTTACAATTACATGTTTTTTACTGGTCGAACCATAAATTATAACCACTTTTTCAGACTTAGTTCCAAAATATTGTGCCTATTTCTCACACAAAGCAATCAAATGTGATTGTTTTTAAAGTCAAAGACTAGTTATAACAAATAGCACATGAAGGTCAGGAAGCTCCCAGGACACAAGGCACCCAGTTGGCTCTCCCACCTCTGCCACACTTTACCCAAAACATTCCTAACAAATTCCTGCTTTCTCTTGGCCTTCTCTGTTCTTTGTTAATATTTTATTCGTGTTTGTTGTCTTGCAAAATTATTTGCTCATTTTATGCATATCTTTTCCTTTTTAATACCTTCTTTACTTTGGGACCTTCTTTTTTTTTTCTCTCTCTCTCTTTTTTTTTTCCAGCTACTCCTCTATGCCAGGAAGAGACACCCAGTAAATAGATGTCAGGGCCTTTCCCCTGAAATCTCATGAAACTCAGGCTACAGCTGTAGGGGAAGGGTTAGCACTTAAGAGGCTCCTGCACTTATACAAGATGCATGAGAAACTCAGAGTGTTTTTTTTTCTTTGTAAACACACACACAAAAAAAAACCTTGAGAAGACAAAATTTAAGTTTTATACTGTCAAACATGTGAAGATAGTCCTTTTTTTTTAAATAAACATCAAAGTATTTTTTCCCTCTTTCTCTGAGTTTTTGTATTTGGTGTTGGCAGCACTCTTGCTCATATATACATTGTACACTATTTTTGTACAATTTGGGGATTGATTAGAAATTCTTTTAAGTCTCAACAAAAAAAAAAGAAAAAAAAAAAAAAAAGGTGTCACCCTAGTATAACTTCCATTTAGAAACTGCCAGAATTAGTAATTGCAATATAAGAGGAGAGATGAGCTGTCTGGATAAAGCAGATACTCTTTCAACAACCTGAGGTGTAGGCAAGCTCTGGAGTGATTAATGTTTTAACATTTAATCTGCTTCTATCTATTGTTCTTCAGATGTTCTACAGTGTGCAGCCTGTATCCAAACTAACTGTATTTTGCCATATTTTGTTAATAGGCAATGACACATTAAATATGTTCATATGCATTAAATAAAGTAAGCCCATAACACTTTGTTCAAATGGTCCTCTACAGCGATGTACTACTATATACATATAAATTTATTATCCCCAGACAACATTGTTGCCTAGTGGAAATATCTCTAAATGACCCCAGCTGTGGAGGACAGAGCACACTTGCCTTACAGATTCAGAAATCCTGTTTTTGTAAACTTGGCACAGCCTGATATGTTGAACTTTTATTTACCAATTCCAATCTTGTTTGGAGCTCCCTGAAAATAAAGGCTAGTTCTTACATAGCATTTTTAATAGACAGACATCAAATTAAATTGTAAATAAAATTATTCCTTATACATCAGTGGGAACACTGAGGCATTTCTCACTTGTTCGGTATCACAACATAGTGACAGGTTCAGAAAAACAACCCGTATATTTGTCCTAGGCTGTTGGTCTGTTAACTCATTGTTGCTATAAAAGAAGAATCAAAAACGTGAACTTGTGTATGGTTCTGTTTGGTCGCATAGACATATATGCAGTATCAGTGTATCATTTACCATTTAGCACAAGTAAAATGAGAAGTTGTTTTGAGTAAATCATTGTAAAATTGCTCTGTGAACATCCTAACAGCAGTTTACACACTTTATTCAGTGGTTTCGCTTGGTATGTATCAAGGGTTCTGCATCTGACTCCTGTAGAAAGCTTATGAAAAATAATTTCTGCTAAGATAGCACAAAAATATAAAAGTTGCTTAAAATGGTTTAATTGATTTTTGCTTCTTTCATTTTCCTGGTTGCATATTAGGACTTTCCCTAACTGTGTGTGTTACTGTCTTTAGGAAAATCAATAATGCATCTATAAAATGTAGTCTTGGCAGATTGCATTCCCCCAATCTAATAAAAGTACTGCTAAGAAGTCATTCCTTTTGCCACAATGATGTCTTAGAGCTTTTATATCTGCAGAGTGGATAACTCATTTTAGCTTCTTCACGAATTTAGCAGGACGCTGGCAACTACAGGAGCATACCAGGCCATCAAGACTTCATAAACCGGCTTCGTTCTCTAGAGTCTCCGTGTCCTGTTCCCTAATTTAATTTAGGGTTTTTTTTTAGACCAATTTCTCAATTTCTTGATCTTTTCAAAACCTTTCTTTAGATTTACACTGAAAAATAAAAATAGTCGATTTATCCTTAATAAGGCAGCACAAATAAATATTTCTGAGGTAAGAATGTTCTCCATTTCTTCTAAGCATTGATTCTGAAGTTGAATTGCAAATCAAGCAGTAACAACACTACTTTTTTTTTTTTTTTGCAGCTGGAGAGAGAATGTAAGAAGAGAGAGGGCAACAGCGAGATGTTCTTTTACTGCATTTGATCCCTGTGTGCAAGAACTTTGCCGGTTGGCACCCAGACAGCTTTGGCTCCTAAGTTCTAGGACATCAGGTACCTGTTTTGCATTTGCCTTTTCCTGAGTGAGGATACAGGGTGAGCAGCTGCTGCTGCTGCTGCTGCTGCTGCTGCTGCTGCTGCTGCTGCTGCTGCTGCTGCTGCTGCTGCTGCATTGGGAGCAGAAGTTGCCCAAGCACCTCTCGGGTTGCTCTGCTCCTTTAAGAGGCTGACCCGCTCCCTCGGGAGCCTTTATAAAGGCAGGTAGGCAGCAGTGCCCTCCTCAAGGAGCTGGGAGCCAGGCAGGGCTCGGGTCTCCGGCATGACTGGTCCCCACGGTTGGGGCTATGGGCAGGATGATGGTAGGTCATGTCCTTTCCATGCTGCATCTCTTTATCTTCCCCCCTGCTGCTTCGTTTTCTTTTTAGTCCTGCTGCCTGAGCCCTGCAGAGCTGCCTGAATTTCATTTTCTGCAATTATTGAATACATACAGCTGGGAATTAACTGCTTTCTTGATGGTAAATAGCACCCTGAAACTCCCACCAGAAGAGGCATGAACTTCTGCCTGCTGCTCTGGGTTGTTGCAGTGTAATTGATATTCTGCAATCAAGCAGTGCTGCAGACCCTAAAGATGTGTCCTGTTCCAAACAGATGCTGTGGAAGTGACTAACTGCCTCTCTCTCTAAAAGCAATTCTTCTGGGTAAAGAAACCATAGAAGAGCAGTAACAGATCTCCTGACCCTGTGGAGCTGTTGCAAGATGATATTTAGGCTTCCATGGTAGAATGTTATATACTTTCAGATATCCATGAATTGTAGGGATCAGCATCAAAGGTGTCTTTTACTGAAGAAACTTCACTTAACAATTTGACAGTGTTTTTAGTTTATTCCCCCTTTCTATTTTTCTTCTCCAATGTGTGTCAGAAAGTGAGAAAACTTATGAAGCTGCTGGAAACTTTCTCCAATCATGTTGTCCAGCACCTGTATCCTTTGCAGAGTGAGGGATAAATGATTGATGTCACCTGACAAGATGGATATTTGTGCAGCTTTCAGGAGCCAGTCTCCTCTTTTGTCCCTGACAACAATTTTTTTAGCTACTGCATATCCCAAAAGAAGCTTGAGCACTTAATGGAGCTGGATATTTCTGATAGTGTTATGTGTTTAGGCACTAAAAGTCATATACTAAAGCAAAGCTTAGGAAAAGACAACTTATTGTCTAAGCTTGCGTGTCAAAACTTAAACAACAAATATGCTTTGTAAGTAGGTTGAGAAGAGGAAAGATACCATTTCATATGCTTAACTTTTCAGTACATACCCAAGATAAGCAAGAAGGTAATAATCTGTTTAAATTTAATGTGTGCTTGGTTGAAAAAAGTACCATTGTGCAAGTGAGACTGCTACAGCTAAACGTGCTTGTTGTGAACTTTAAAGTGAAATTGCTATTGTTAAACTTTGACCAGTAACAGCAGAAAAAAAAATGAATTTACTTTTGCAGCACAGTATAAAAGTAGAACGAGAGAAGAGGTCAGAATAAGTAATTCTCTGAAACAGATATAGTTTTGTTATCTCTAACTGCATGTGAAAGTTCCAGCTCTGGCAAGAAAGATATATCACTAAATTGGTCTTTCACCCCACTCTATTGCAGTCCTGCAGTCCAAAAGTGTCAATAATCACATTGCTTTGATCTTGCAGGGTAGAAAGATACCGTAAGGGGCATGAGTGAAGGATGAAGCTGCCTCAAAGATTTACTGCAGTCATAAAATGGATTTAAAAATAACTACATAATCAGTAGCTGAAAGATTGAGTCATCTGCATCTAATTTGAATCACTGGAGCTTTTACACTCTTATCCAGGAAGCAGTAACACTCTTTCTGTGGGTGTATGCGTGTGTATGCCCATGCAGGTGTTTATACATACACATACATCTTAGAAGGTATTTGAAGTCCTTCCAGTGTAATTACCAACTTGACACGAAAATCAGTGACACGAGTAACTAAAGATGTGGTGGTCCGTAGATTTGCTGTAATTTCCTCAGTGTGTCTTCTAAAACCTACCCAAATCTTTCATCCAGTTGCTGTCTGTGCTACTAAAAACTATCTATAGAATTTAGTCAACTCATCAGAAGCCAAACTTCTAAGCAGTTCCTGCTCAGCAACCTACACTTCATGCCTTGTGAAAACTTGTAATTATTTCTTGTACAGCAGGAAGAAAATAACAGCAGTTTCTTTCTTTGGTTTTGAAGGACCCTCTGAGTGGTACAAATCTTATCCTGTTGCCCAAGGGAACCGTCAATCACCTATTGATATAGTTTCTGCAAAAGCAGTTTATGACCCTGGTCTGAAGCCACTTAATATCTCCTACGAGTCATGTACTTCTCTCAACATCTCCAACAATGGCCATTCAGTTATGGTCGAGTTTGAAGATGCCGATGACAAGACAGGTGAGACTAGCACGCATGGACAACTAACCCAGCATACTGTTTTGTGGCTTAGTGAGGGGGAGTTTAGTATCTCTTGTGAAGCACATCTTGTACTATGTGCTTTTTAACTTAGGGCAAAGTGTGTTACCAGAGCCCTTCATTTTATTGAGTCTGCTGTTTTCATGATTTGAAATTGAAATACCAACATTGAAATACCAACACACACTCCAGCTCTCTCTGGTTCACTGCCCAGGTGAAAAGAATCAGCAAATATCAGATCATTTGTCATAATCATACTCTGCCAGGTCTATTTGTATCTAGATGGTTCCCTGATTTTCTTGCCCTGTTTTCTTTCTTTACTGCCCCACAGCAGTTCAGCATCTTCAGAAGTTAGTCTTCAGTTGATTTTGATTTGGTAGCAGCTTGTATATGTGGCACTATCTGCAGTTATATTACTCTAGCCTTTTTTTAGCTTATGGCAGAGTGAATAAAAATGTCTTAAGTGATTGATCCTATTATTGTTAACTCATGACGATTTTGCTTTTACCTGCATAGTAAAAAAAAGCATTAAGATAAAGAGGCGATTATAAAAACGAGTAGCTGATAAATGGAAGAGTGCATTTAAAACAGGACTCTCAAGAGTTTTTAATCTCCAAGTTGCCAAGGCTGAGGGTTAAGATTCTCTTCATTTGGTTCTAAAATCTCTCTTCTTGAATGAACTCAAAGAGCCTGAATGAATGATGAGTCTTCATGGGCAATTCCTGAATTAGAAATGAAGACCGTTGATGTGCATTTCTCAAGTTTACTGCGTAAGATTCACAAGAATGACATCCTACAAAATCTGTAAAGCACATCTGCAAATATTTGCTTGTTTACTACCTCAGTTACTACAGCTGGTCTGCAGCTGGAAAACAATGAACAGTTTTAGGTATTTAAGAGCACTGCATGTAACTCCTCTGGACCAAGGCAATGGAGCAAAAGCAGGTGGACTTGGACCATGGGCAGGAATGAAGAGCTGCACCCTTCCTGCACTGGAGAAGCCTCGTGATGCTTGCAAGGAAGAAGACTGCTAGGAGTATAAAGCTGCATTTAAGTGTTTTTAGTTTTATTGAAATAGATCTAGTGACTCACAGCTTTGCATACATTATACAACAGACTTCTGATAATATCCCCATTATAGCTAGATATTTTTAAAGTTTTGTGACACTGTCAGTATTAACAAAATTAAGCAACCTCTGATATACACTGCTGGGCTGCAGGCTTGTTTTGGCAAGACTGTTTCTTTCACAAAAGCCAGCTGCAGCTCTGCATGTGTGGTCGTACAGTGCATGCCCCAGGTTTATAGGTAGAATATTACAGCCTGCACAGAGGATAGAGAAGGGCTTTACCAAGGCTGTGTTCACTTTGAAACTTTTTTTAAAGATATAGATGATCAGGTTTTCATGTCTCAGCAGAACTTTATCAATTTGATGTCCTGTAGAAGTATAGGAGAATTACCAATATGCTGATAAAATAGCTTCTATAGGTGATACCTTAAGCATTAACCCGCTCCTGCTAAAGGTGTTGTTTTTAAATGATATGTAAACTTTCTGTAGAATTTTCCCATCATTAGAAGGTGATTTGAGACTCCCCAGTGTCAAGAGATTTTTTTTCTCTTGTAGGAGCAGGTAACGAAAGAAAAAGGAATATAGAGAACTTCTAATATAAGGAAAGAACTCTAAAGAAATATAAATATAAAATTCTCTATTAGTAGCTAGTCAATGTGCCTTTTTTTTTCTCTCCTCTACAAATTTGGGTGTTTTCTATGATGAAAGTTTGTACTTCTAAATGTCTGGATGACGCATCCTGTTCTATTGACAATGGGAAAACGCTGCTCTTTTTCACTGTTGCACCATCTAGTTCTTAGTAGCAGGAAGGTAAAGCCAGAAATACATGATCTTTTTCTTCATTTCTGCTTAGCAATCAGTGGTGGCCCCTTTGAGAACCCCTTTCGGCTAAAGCAGTTCCACTTCCACTGGGGGACAAAGCCGAGCCAGGGATCGGAGCACACAGTGGATGGCAAACCCTTTCCTTCCGAGGTAACTGTGCGGGTGGAGACGGGGCTAATCAGCACCAAGGCTGTTGGCAAAATGCCTTTGTCTGTCGGGGGAATTGGAAGCACACTAGGATTCTGATTGCCCTGACCTAACTATGCTCAAAGACTTGAGTAAGGGTTTTCCTTCAACCACTGAAGCTTTCGCATCCGTTAATGACAGTGTTCTGTCATTAGGCAAACTTCTCTCCCTTGCACAGCCCTTTCTCCAAAGATCTCAGCTCATTCTGGTCAGCGAGAGCCAGCTAGTCCCAGAGCGCAGCTGCTCTGCTCCCAAACGGAGCTGCTTCTGCATGGAGCAGCCTCCGCTACCTCGGGAAGGCGCTGAGCTCCAGCTGGCTCTCTCTGTTCTTCATGTAGGTGGGAAGGACATTCAGACACACAGTGCTGAGAAGCACTTACCTGACAGTTAAATTGGTGATTGCAACCCAAAATAGCCATGCTGCTGCCAAGGAGCTTAGGAATGGCTTCATTGGGAGGCTCTTGAGAATTTCCTGCAAAGCTAGGACCAAATACAGCTGCTTCCCAGAAAGGCCCATCCCAAATCATACAGCAGGAGACCATGGAGTGATCACAGGAGCATAGAGCTTCATGGATGAAGGTCCCTTCAGGGAATCTTTCTAGGTTACAGCATTATTTCTTAAGCTTAACTTGAAACAAGTCATTTGTTAATTTATAGGAGCTCTTTGCTGTGTCCATGCCTACCGACTGATCCAAAAGACTGATTTGGAACTTGCTGATCTTTCCAAAGATATCTTATAAGCAAAGCCTACTCTGTTACCAATTCTGTTACCAATCGTGCTACTGCCTGCTTACACATGATGCAACCTATGTTGAAAAAAATTATCTTTAATTTGTATTTATTTTTTCTTTATATTAATTTAAATTTGTATTTCTAACTTCCTTCTAAAGCTCCACTTAGTTCACTGGAATGCCAGAAAATATGCAACATTTGGAGAAGCAGCAGCAGCTCCAGATGGCTTGGCAGTAATTGGTGTTTTCTTGGAGGTAAGAATTGCAAAAATAGCATGTTTACATGATGAAAAGCATCATACTGTCAAATGTTTGAGAACCAAGCCCCATATTTAAGAGGTGCGTAGGGAAAACAGATGACTTGATTGAAGAAGTAACTTTTTGCAAATTGCTGGTAAGTCTGCTTTAGTAGGAATTTTGAGATTTGGATAATTCAAAGCATAATTATAGTCATTCTTAACCTGTGCATTGCTATTTTAGATTGGGAATGAACATGCCAATATGAACAGACTCACTGATGCTTTTTACATGGTAAAATTTAAAGTAAGTTTCAAACTCTTTAACTTGCTCTGGAATATCCTTTACATATTAAGCTCATGTATGTGTCTAAGACAAACAGTAAAAATAGAAAACTGCTCACCCCAAACCCTCCCATCATTAGCATGTTACTGAAACTATATTTTTCCTGTCCAATGCCTTCACTCCCTTCCCCACAAAATTTGGCTGATTGGCCTATCCTCAAATGCTTCTCAATGCTCCACTGAGCCCATTTAGTTATCTATAGAGTTTACCCTTCCTGGGTTATCTAAAATCAAAAGCTTCATAACCCTTCAGGTTCAGGTCTTAGTCATGAAAGCAACCTGTTTCCATCAAGCGTAGTCTTGAGCAACCCCTTGATTGTAGAGATGGAAGCTCTTTCAGTTTCCCATTGGGGATGATCTGCTCATTCACTTCCTTATGAGCAATTCTAGACATCTAGAAAGTGGTCTTAATGTGAATAAGCTTTCACATACTTCTGAATACAACCATAGGTCGAAAAACGTGGCTCTGAGCTGTGGTAGTGCTGCAGGTAACCACATCTGCAGAGCCAGCACCTGTCCAAGCAATATTTGCACTCCCTCTTTTTTGTCTTTTCTGACTGATTTCTCGTTCTGCTTTAGACATTGATATTCTATTTTAAAACCAATATTTGTCCCAGCATACAATGACTCTCTTGGGCTAAGTTTTTCATCATTTCAGACCACTTCCTGAAGTAGATGGAAGACAGAAAACTGTAAGTAACAAATCAGCCCTGCCATTCTTTAAATTGGGTTATACACTATTACCTATTTCATGCACTATTCTTGGTCTTTTTGGAACAAAAGCTGAGCTCTAGTACAGGTGATTGGGTAAGAGCTCAAATCCTAGGAACCCAACAGTAGAGGTCATGCTTGCCACACGACAGTGAATGTTTTCCTGAGTCTATTTTCATGCTTCTCTCAGATATCAGTTGTCATGAGGCAGTCAAACCACCATAGGTCTATTTTCTTCCCCCCATCGCACCTGCTGTTTTTTCAGGTTCCTTTAAATTCAATTTGAAATAGGAAGAAAATTAAACTATCATTTTTTTTCCAGGGGACAAAAGCTCAGTTTAGAAGCTTCAACCCCAAATGTCTCCTGCCTTTGAGTCTAGATTATTGGACGTATCCTGGTTCCTTGACAACACCGCCTCTTAATGAGAGTGTAACATGGATAGTGCTGAAGGAATCCGTCAAGATTTCTGAGAAACAGGTAAAGTTCCAATATTCTCGCAGTTTCTATAGGATTCAACCTTGGATTAAAGGCAGTGACTACCTTCTTTTGTGGAGGGGCAAGTCAGGTTGTGAATAATAGTCACAGTGCTTCTACTTTTATTAATATTCTCTAGGATCTTTGCTTTAATTTGTCCTACTGACATTGTAAAGTACCAAATATTTTGGCCCTTTTTCTGACATCAATACCTATTTCTCCTTTAAGCAATTAATTATTTTACATAAAATTACAGCTGGAGAAATTCCGAACTCTCCTCTTCACCAGTGAGGAAGACCAGAGGATCCAAATGGTCAATAATTTCCGCCCTCCTCAGCCTCTTAGGGGGAGAGTAGTTCGAGCTTCCTTCAAGGCCTGAAGAAAACTGGTCCTGATTTCCACCCCCCCACACACCCCCCCCTCTGTCGTGGTTTAAGTGACTGAGACCCTAGGAGAGCAGAAGGTGCCCGGCCGCGCTGAGGGTGAAGAGAGTGCTGAAGGAGCGGCTGGGTGCAGNAAATATGGCCCTGAAAGAGCCAAGAGCTTCCACATGTGAGACCGAAACAAAACTCTGGTCTATAGAGCTCCACATCATGCAGCACACAAGATGTGAACACTCTGTGCTTGAAAGGGGGCAAATCATCTCCTTATTTTATATTTTGTTTGAATAGCACTTTTTGGAAGCCTTGTTAAATATAAAAGACAGATGAGTAATCTGGAGTGTTCTCCAGGTTCTGAAACTAAAATAATAAGATAAAAATTTAAATCTCATTTAATATAAAATCAGAAATTGATCTACCACATTTTGTAACTAAATAGGAAATTGGTTATCTTTTAGTACTGATTACCACAGCTTCTAATTATCTAATTTAATACATGATTAAATAATAATCAAGAACTTTGGACAAATAAGGCTTAAATTTTCCTGCTGACTTTTCATAGATATTTTACTTGTTACCATCTCTAATTTGCTGAGTATCCTTGACTTAGGTTTCTTTCACATATTCTTGCTGTCTTTTTGACACTTCTCTAGTAGCACTAGAAAAATGGTTGTTCTTTACCTCCAATAAGCACTGACACAAAAGTGGCATACTTATGTTAAAGTTACTGTTCTATGATACTACAATCGGTTAGAAATGCTGAGAATATTCATATTTATTGTAAGCAGCCCATTTTGTTGCACAGTATTGTTTGAACATTGTTAGCCCATGCAACATGCATAATTATAATGCTCCCTTTTAGTCTAAAAGGACATCTACAGGAATTCAGCCATGTAGTTTGTAGCTACAAATTCTTTTTTTTGTAGCTACAAATTTTCAAATTCTACCTTGGTTACAGGCTTTACCCTGCAATATAGACTCTTTTTTTTTTCTCCCCCTAAATGCTGTGGATCTACCCTTTTGCTTTAGGGGCCTGACATGCGTAGACACTGGCAGCACTGAATGGGCGCTGCTGTGCAAATGAGCTATGGCAGCAGCTCAGAGCCTCTTGTCAGTTCTTTTATGTCCTCAAAAGAAAGATGGCTTAGAAAAGCCAGACTGTTATTACTGCTTCTGCTGCTTTGGTGACACTTCTTCAGACTTTCGTCTTGCCCTGAAAGAGAGTTGTTAGCTGTAACTATTCTCAATCTATTTCCAGTTGTGTTAATTCTGGACTTCAAATGTTTCATTTACTCTGTATAACTTAAAATAGAATTGCTGATATGTAATCGGCTTTTTTCAACAGTGGAGATTACTGTCCCTCAAAACAGTATTATTTAAAAAAGTAGAAAAAAATAAAAGAAATGGAAGCTCTTATGGGCAAATTCTTGCAGGAAAGGAGAAGATACTTTGAAGCATAGTACTAGAAATAGAAGGTGAGGATTCTAGACCCATCTCTTCTGTAGTTTTCTTGTTATGCTGTGTTAAACTTCACCATTCCTCAGTTTATGCTGCTGTAAAATTGGGGAACCTCATGGGGTGTCAAGCTAATTCAGCACTGTTTAGACTTGATTCTTGCACACAGAATGTTACAGGAAATGGAAAAATCACTACAAAATGGAGTGTTTTTAATAATGTTATCAAGCTAATGAATATTGTAAAAAAAATTGTATCTTAATTTCTTTAACAAATGAAATAAATAAGACTTTTAAAATCAAGCATGTATCTTTTCCCTCTTTATTTTGAACCAACCTACTTTCAAACTAAATGGAGGGAGAGGGGAAAGGAAGAGGCCACTTTCCATAGCAGTTTTAGTGTGTGTTTCTCTCTTTCTCTCTGAGCTCTTAATAGAAAAACTTTCTGTAGTGTCTTCAGTAAATAGGATTTCAGGAAGTCACCAGTGCCTCTGTCTCGGATGAAGGAATGAGTTGATGTCTTTTCTCCAGCATCATAAGAACCCAGGTATGCTATGGCATAATAGTTTAAATACAGATGAGATTTATTCCTCAAGTAAGAATTAAAACACTATCATGGTTGTAACTTAAGCTATATATACACTAAACCACTGTGAATTTATCATGTGTATATGTAGTATATGATTATATAAATCAGCTTCAGGGTGCAGTAAGATTCAATCAAGCCATCACTATCAGTGCTGTAGCGGTGCGTACACTGCCACAGCAGGTCACTTCAGTGTCTTCCACCTGCCCCTTGCCCTAAACATAAATTAGGATTTTTCTCCTTCAGGGTGTTTCAAGGAGTTAAAGCCCAATTCATAGAATCACAGGGTGAAGGGGCTGTTTGGATTCCTTTCCTTATCTCACAGTGAAGAAGGACTTCCACATCAACATCTTACCCCACTCTTTTCCTCCTACAATCACTTGGTCTAATCTTACTGCCTCACAGAATTTGTCTATTTGTCTTGACCACACTACTAAGCTTTAAGTGTGGTCTGCCCATTAACAAAAGCTCACAAGGTTATTGTAAAAGCTTACGAGGACTGGGAAACACGTGGCCTTCTGTTTAGGTTAGGGACTGAGCAAACAGTTGGGAATCTAGACTGAAAATGCCCTCTGCTGGTCTGTCTCCCTTTCTTATTCAAATGCATAAAACTCCTTAGTTGCACCTAGAGCCAGCACAGGAATTTCCATTACAGTTACTCATACCTTAAAAAAAAAGTTAGCTTGCTTTTTTTTATCTGCTGTATTTTAACTGAACTATCCTTAAAAAAAAAGTACAATCTTAGAGTACAATCCCTGAGTCTGCTTTCTCATCTAAATTAGGCTTAGAAAAACAAAATAATTTGCAATTTATTATCTCTTATCACTGGTAGACTAAAGATGTCCTCTGATAAACTACTCAGACTGTTAACTTTAATTTCTAACCTTTCCAGGCCCAGTTTAACTTAGTGTTTATTTATTTTTTTTTCTCAACCTTATGCAAACAGGGTAGTTTTCAAGTAATTTCAGGATTTTAGGGAGGCAGGTGATACAGCTTAGCAGTCATTTATGAGGGAGAGTTTCATAACTGGTGTAAAGTAATCCAAACTTCACTGGAATGGGTTTGCGAAGTGTCTTACAAGATGCCAATTTTGATGGTGTTCAAAGGTCAGAAAGAAAAGGGAGCATTTCAATAAGTATGAAAAAAAAAAGGCAATCTAAACAGGAGGAACTCCAGGCTGTGAACAGCAATAATGCAAACTATCATTAATTCATTTTAATGTTTACTGTATAGCAGCTATTCAGGAGAGAATATAGCTGTCCTACTGTTGGAGAGGAAGAAGGAAAGGATTTCTTTTGTTGTTTGTTTGGGTTTTTTTGTTTGATTTTTTTTTTTTTTTTGGTGTTTTGTTTTCTATCTAAGTGCTCTGGGCCAAGCCAGGAAAATTGCCTGCATTTGTAAACCCTCCCAAAAAATTTAATGTGACTTCTATAGGGGCCCAGAATGTAAAGTGAGCATGTGCTTCAGTGCAAGCCTGGCTTTCACTTTTGCCTGAAATGGCTCATAAGCAGCTTCAGGTTAAAAACCCCAAGACCTGGCATGATTTGTCTGCTCAGAAACCGCTGAGATAGGAACTTGATATCGCAAGCGAATCATGTGCTTCAGCGACCTGACCCCAACCTGTTCCAGGCAATAGCCTGTGGGACTGACCTTCCAGGCTCAAATAATCAGATCACTTTATCTCAAACCTTTTGAAGTCTGTTGAAACTGCAGTTTACTGGGAGATGGATCATGGCCTAAATAACCAACATAGGAATGAGCAAAAAAAGTATTCACAAACGAATCAGAGTTGCTGGCTGTACAAGTCAAAAGATATAATTATACCTTGAAAATCTAAATATAGCATTCGCTACATTTACCTATCCTTGCACTTTAATACAATGCCCTTGGAATTACATTCATTCCTCTTGGACTGTTGGCAAGATCTCTTTCCCGTAGATGCTCAAAACGGAACTGCAGCTCACTTCTAAAGAGCAAGGGCAAAACCAAAGCTCGGCTTTAGAGGGACTAGAGTCGTGATTTTTTTCAATCAAGAAGATCGTAGTAAGACAGAGTTTTAAGGCAATCAAGACCTTACCGAGTGGCTTGAAAGAAATTTGCCATCGCTGACTAGATACTTTAGAAGGTAAAAATACTGCAAGTCTGAGCAATAAAGTTTTTGTCTCCTCAAATTATATCAAGGGTTAGCATTACCCCTTTTTTTTATACTAAAGTTTTTTATATTAATTGTATATCATATTGGTCCATAACATCAGCATCTGCAAACACTGAAAAAGCAGGATCTGAATCTCAGTTCAACTTAGTATCCTGTCCTGTCAAGAACTAACACTGGAAACACCTGAGTTTCTTAAAAACCTACATATTCTTCTAGGTATTTGGTTTTTATAGAATGAAAGCAGCATCTCGGCTTTCTTTGTAGGACTGTTAATAGTTTCACTTTCATGTATGCATTTACTAAACCATTAAATGTATGCATATGACTTTTTAATACAAATTACCACTGCATTTACTGAAATTACTGCTTTGAGCTGAAGAGAACTTGAGCATTTTTCACACATTCCCTGCAGCCCAGGAAGCTCAGAGCTGGCAAGGCCGTTTTCAGGCTGCTGCACAAGGTTTCACCACGATTGTAAACGGTGCAAAAGCCCAAACGTGGCAGCTCCGAGCATGGAATGCCTGGGGAGCTGGGAGCTGTGGCGGGACTGTGGAGCAAAGCACGGAGGTGGAGGGGAGGGCTGCTGCAGTTGACCTCCTTCTGTTCAACAGCTTCCTCACACAAGCACAAAAACTATATGTATTTCAGATAACTGGTTTCCACGTGTGCCAAAACAACGTCCTAAAGTTTTCCTCTAAGTTGACCTTCCATTTTGTTTGGTCTTCCATTTGACATAAAAACAAGTGTCATTGTGTTAACAAAGAAACAAATAAACATTCAGACTCACAAATATTATCACTCATTTTGCCAGATTGTCTGGGAATGCAGTTATCTCATCTAGGGAACCTAGAATACATTATTTAGATTAAAAATGCCTCCATGTAAGAAGTCAGTGCAATAAGATATGCGCTGATCCTATCATGCCTCTCCAGACTGGTGAGCCTCTGCTATTGCAAAATCATCATTACATATTAATGTAATGACTACTAAGTAACCACTATGGAGCAAACAATAACTACTTATTAACCATTGTGTGTTTTGGGTCCATTCCTTATTACACTGCATAAACCCAGACAATGGAAATATTAGCGAAGACGAGCAGACCCTGGAAACTAAAACCAGCAACCTTTAAGCTTCATAATGTATATTGTGCATCGTTTTCAAAAAGTTTGTGGTTTTGATGCTGGCCCTAGCTTTGAGGGGTGTAAAATTATATTTTTAAAAAGGGGTTCCACTTCCCCCTCCCTTCCAAAAAACAGAAACCTCTCCCAATAGAACACGTTAATCTTTTTTTGACCTTCGTTAGGACAGTAAAAATGACTCCGCTGATGCTTTTCTTTATCAGCTCATCTGAGTGCTTTTATTGCGTATGATTTCAAACAGGGGCAGAATGCGACAGGGACAGGTCTGCGGCTGGAAGGCGGGCTCAGGTGGCGCAGGGCACCAGAACGCTGCGGGTATCGGGCGGCTCGAGGGCGCGAGCGGTGCCCGGGCCGCGGCTGTTCCGAGAGCAGCTCCGGGCCCGAGGGCCGCCGCGCCGCGCGGGGAACATGGCGGGCGGCGGGGCCGGGCGGCGCCCCGGCCTGACAGGCGCCCGCGCCGCCCCTGGCGCGGCTGCTGCGGGGGGCGGGGCGACGAGGGCGGCTCCTGCGTGGGCGCAGCCGATTGGGCGGCGCGGCTGCCGCTCAGTGCCATCGCCCCGCCCCCGGCAGCCCGGAACTGGGGTGGCCGGGCCCGCGTGGCGGAGCAGGGTGGATCGGATCGGGAGTGGAGGTGCGTGCGGGGTCGGGGCGCTGCCTGATACCGGTACCGGCACCACGGCCGGGTGGAGCGAGCCCGCCCGCAGAGGGCTGCGCTGTCGTCCCCGGCGGGACAGGACACGGGGACGGGGCGCGCCCTGCCGCGCCGCGGGGGCGGGATGGCTGCCGGCTCGGGGAGCCCTTCCCGCGCGGCGCCGGCCCGGCCGAGCGGAGCGGAGCCGGTACCGGGTGCGGCGGCGGTGTGGGGACCGTGGGCGGGTGCGCGGGCGCCGGGCTGTGCCTGCGGGGCCGCGCTCTGCGGCTCGGGGCTCGGCCGCGGGGTCCCGTGTCCCCGGTCCGCGGCGGCGGCTCCTGCGCCAGCCCCGTGGGCGCAGCTCGTTTCCAGTGGCCGTGGCTCGTTCAGCCGGGTGGGAAGCTGCAGGGCAGCTGTGCCGTGCCAGGAAACGCCGAGCTTTATGTAAGCGGCGCTTACATAATGGTTCTTAGCGCCCGGCCTGTATTAGCGCCTTCCTCTTGCCCGGGGTTGTGCAGGAGCAGCGAACGCCCCGCAGGGATTCCTTCCTTCCTTCCTCCCACCCCTCCTCCCTGCCAGCAGGCACGAGTCCGCGTGGGAACACGCCGAGCCCGTGGGCACGGTACCCGGTACCTGTGGGCATTGAGCGCAGCAGCGGCTCGGGAATGTGCCCCAGGGCTCGGCTGCACCAGCCGGCTCTGCCGCTGGACGAAGCGCCTGGTGTCTGCCACGGCGTGCGAGCCGCGCAGGGCGCCTCGGAGCAGCGGGTCTTTGAGCTCAGAAGGTGTGAATCAGTGTCCCAATCCCACCTGGGGGAGAAGTGAGGGAGGAGAAAGAAGGTGGGGAGCGATCCGGGAGATGGGGACAAACGAGAGGGCTTGTCCTGCAAGGCCAGAGCTTTTGGGGTTTAGCTGGCACTGGGGTTTGCAGCAGGGACTGGCAGCCCCTCAGCTCGTTGGGGCAGTCTCTGCACCGTGTCTGGTCGTGTGGGGGGCCCCAAACCGTGAACTCTGCTCCTGTCTGTCCGGACACCCGCAGTGAAATTACCCTGTGTCTCGGCCTCTCCTCACAGGGTCTCCGGGAGCGATTCTGGCGGCGCCCGTTGCAGAATAGCTTGTCCAGCCTTTATCTCGGTAAGCGTGGCTGCTGCCATTTGGATATCCCTTGTATACACTATACACCGCATTGCTTTTGTTTTCCGAGTGGGATTGCAGTGAAGTCCTTGGGTTGTATCAGCATGCCTTTTGCTTAGACTTGTTGAGGTTTGTTTTTAGCTTTTTCTCATTTTTCCTTTTAAACAATTTTTATGCAACTGGCTTGAGCTTATGTTTGTGTGTTCCCCCCACTAAAAAGCCAATACTGCAGTAGGATGTAGCCAGTTTGAGCTGAAGTGGACAGTGCTACAGGCAGCTGGGAAGTGGGGGTTCATACAAAGCTGAACTGTTCTGATGGGTTGCTGGTTTGACTTTGAATTTACAGCACTGCAAATGTTGTAATTTTTTTAAACCTTAAGTCAAAATTTTGTTCTGAAATGAGCACCTAGTTGTGTTTCTGTTCTAGCACTTAGTTTCTCCTCGTCAGAACAGCTGAAGAACTTGATGTTGGCTGCCCCCAAGCTCCAGCACTGTTGTCTAGCTGGCAGCAGAGCTCTTGGCAGGGTTCATGGCTCCTTTTTGTTCTTATTGTGCTTCAGATAAAAATGCCCTACCGAAAGACTGTAGAAGTCATCAATGCAGCTGCTGTAGCTTTCACCAGAGCACGATGCTTTGCAATAAATACGTTAACCAGCTGTAGAATCTCACATTGGTTGTGTAAAAATCTTACCTGACTAAAGGTAGGCTAAGATCTTGAAGGTACGTCAGGCTCAAGCTTGTAAGCTGGAATGGAATTGGAAAGGAAGGCTGGCTTGCTGTAGATGGGAGTGAGGATTGTTGCAATTTATACAAATCATTAACTTGTCTACCATGTCTTTTTCTCTAGAGTTTTGAGTACTAAGTTTTACAACATGGAAAAGCAGACCTGAGGATTTATTTTTTTTATTTTTTTTTATTTTTTTTTTTTGGAATTTACTCAGACTGCTTGTTTTGTGTCTTGAGATGGGGTTTTCTACAGAAGAGTTGGCAATTGCATTTCGTGTGATGTTGGAACTTCTTAGCTTTGCTAAGGAAAAATATGAGGAAAAAGAAGCTTGACAAATACAAGTCAGCTCTTCTGATGAGTGAACTGGGGAGAGACAATCGTATTGTAAGTTAAATTCATCACAGTCACAACTAAATGATGGAAATTGTGTCCTTTTTATAATGCCCTTACCCAAGCATTCTCTTACAGAAAAAGCTATAAACATTTCTGTGAGCTATTGAGTTGCTTTTGCATTGCTAAACTTCTTGTGAATTCTTTAAGTTTTACACCTTTCCTATTTTCATGTTTCAGGTTGTAAGGGCATTCTGCACTACTGAAAGAAGTTACTCCTGTTTGTGGAGTGACTTATGATGTCAAGAACTGTATCGTCCTGGATTCTGAGCTCAGCAAGGAGCAGCATTGTCCTACAAGGCAAGGGACGTTTGTACTCCAGATGCATCACAGCTAGAAACGAGACAAAATGGAAGCTTGTTTTCTGTGGAACACGCCAATTCCCTACTGGAAGCTGGAGCTTAGATAATGCTCTCTTCTTGAGAAAAGCTTTCAGACACACTTCCACCGAAGAAGAACAATTCTCCTTTCAGTTGTCTCCATCACAAATTAATGAGGTACTCAGGGCAGGGGAATTATCCCACAAAATACTGGGCTTGCATGGTAAAAATGCGAGCTCTGTGCTGAAGTTTGAAAGTAACCAGCTGGCGTCGAACACGCCAATTGAAGACCGCAGAAGCGCAGCCACCTGCTTGCAGAGCAGGGGGATGATGTTCGGGGTGTTTGACGGTCACGCGGGCTCCGCGTGCGCGCAGGCCGTGAGCGAGAGGCTGCTCCACTACATCGCCGTCTCTCTCCTCTCTCGGCAAACCTTGGAGGAGATGGAGCTTGCTGTGGAGAGCATGAAACCCATTCTGCCTGTGCTGCAGCTACACAAGCACCCAAATGATGTCGAGTATCGTGAAATAACTTCACAATATTTTGAGAGCCTCCGGGTTTACTGGCAACATTTGCTGGACCTAGACACTGAGCCAGGGTTTAGTTTAGAAGAAGCCATGATATGTGCCTTCAAAAGGCTGGACTCAGACATATCGCTAGAAGTTCAGGCTCCCCAGGAAAGTGAATTGATGAGAAATATTGCCCTTCAAGTGGCTTTCTCTGGTGCCACAGCCTGTGTGGCTCACATAGATGGAGTTCACTTACATGTTGCGAATGCTGGTGATTGCAGAGCAATTTTAGGAGTATGTGAAGAAGATGGAACGTGGTCTACTCTTCCTTTAACTCGAGACCACAATGCCTATGATGAATCTGAAATTAAAAGATTGAAGAGAGAACATCCAAAGTCTGAGGAGAAAACTCTACTTGTGAATGACAGATTACTGGGGATTCTCATGCCCTCCAGAGCTTTTGGAGATGTCCAATTAAAATGGAGTAAAGAATTGCAACAGAGTGTTCTGGAGAATAGCTGTGATGCTGAGGCTCTGAATATTTATCAGTATGTTCCTCCAAACTACCACACACCCCCTTATTTAACTGCAGAGCCTGAAGTCACATATCACAAATTAAGAGGCAAGGATAAGTTTCTGGTTATTGCTTCAGATGGACTATGGGAGATGCTAAGCAATGAGATGGTCGTAAAGCTTGTTGCTGGACACCTTGCAGAGTTTAACATGCAGAAACCGCAGCTAGCTTTTGAGAAACCGATTAATTTGGGTTATATGCACAACTTGCTGCTTCAGAGGAAAAGCAGAGGCACTGGCTCGCTTGACCAGAACATAGCTACTCACTTAATACGCCATGCAATTGGAAGTAATGAGTACGGAGAGGTGGACCAAGAGAAGCTTGCTGCAATGCTGGCGCTGCCTGAAGACCTTGCAAGAATGTACAGAGATGATATCACAGTAACTGTGGTGTATTTTAATTCAGACACAATTGAAAATTATTACAAAAACAGTGAATAGAGACTTGCACTACTGCAGTTCTATAACACTGGCTAAATTTGATGCTGGATATCATTGCTGTTTGTTTTCCCTGATCTTTCCCGGGTCAGTCAGTCAGGCTGGTGCCAGTGTCATTGTTCAGAAGTTACAGACCAGTCTTGATAACAGATTTCTAGAAGTCACTTTGGTGAAAGTTCCATGGGTTTCCAGGTCTGTTCATACTGAGGAGAAAATGTTTTGATAAAAGTTCACTGAAATACAATTGAAATAAAGATTACCAACCCAGTACTCATTCCATGGGAGTGACTAGTAAAACTTTCCAAGAGAACAAATGGGAGACAAATTTCGCTGGAACTGGTACAATTTGGCAGGGAGATGGATAGTAGCTGCCGCTGCCTCAAGTACAAGAAACGCTTTGCTCTTGTGCAAAATGAGTAGCCTGCTATTGAAACACTGTAACTGAAATTGAAAAATAAATAATTTCCCAAACTACTATTTGACAGTGTCAGATACTTCAAAAAATTGCTTTGGGTATGTGAAGCTTAACTAAAGAAGGCTCTTGAGACAGCCTTGGGACTTGTCAAACGCTTTCTCCTAGTGTCATATTCTACAGCTGCTGTAGAAACAAAAGCATATTTTGAGGAACTCTTTTTGAAAGTATGAATGCACGTTCTCTTAATTGTGTGTGTGTTTGGACATGTATGACAATTTATAGGTCAAAGGAACTTGACGACCTTCACAGTTCCTTCTTTAGAAGTATCTGTTCCTAATATAGTAAATACCTAATGCCATCAATCAAGAATAGTTGACTTCGAGCATCTAACTTGTTTAAAGAACATAGGCTTTAAGTACTGGCTTGTGAACTGTTGCACATCAAATCTGTCAACTTTCACTTTAAAAATGCTTTACATACCCAGGACTGCATTAAGTGTAAATGCAGTAATACATAGGGCACCTTTGTCCCTGGCTTTCACTTTCAAGGGATAATTGGTAGAGCTGGTATTTCACCAAAATGCTTCATCCTTTTTGCCTTTACTCTTTGCTTTTGGACATGAGCTTGCCTCTATAGGTTTGGATAGTTATTTTCTGCAGTTCTAATCCCAGAAAATGTACTTGTTGGTATTTTAAGTGTTGTTTTGTTTTGTACTTGGCTTTCTAGAGTGCCTATCAAGAGCTTGGAGATGAGCTGTTTTCTGAAGTTTCTCGTGCAGTGTTGCCGTGTTCTCCAGTGACTCTTTTCCTTGTTTGTGCACAGCAGTAATTGTTGCCCATAAGAGTGTGTGTACTGGGAATAGAGGCCTGTTTACAGCTGTTGCTACCAAGTAAGCACCTGTGTGGGTGAAGCAAAGCTGCTATATGTAAGATGACTTTGCTCTGAATTCCACTTTTTTTTAATGCATTCTGTCATTCAGCTAATGGAAAAAGTACTTCAATTTCCATTATAATATTTTTTAAGAATTTGAGATCTTAGGCCTAAGGGCCTGAACCAGTAGTACTTCTGGGCTTGGGGCTTTTTGTATACTTCCCCCTGATAAAGCTCTTGGTGCTTTTTCAAGCATTTAAATAATCATGCATTTGACTACGCAGAATATTTCTTTAATTCAGTGTTAAACCTATGATCACCCCATGCATCGTTACGTACTTTGTCCTTTTCCATTTCTCCCATTGCAACATCTGTAAATTCAAAAGTAACTTTGAGCAATGGAAAAGCCTTTGCATGAGAAAGCGTTCTACTCCATAAGACAGCTCTACTAGGTGCTCCGTACAGTGCTGGTAGGTTGCTCTGCTGCAGCCTGCTCCAGTGTGTGCTAAGGGCAGGTAGCACTGTGCTTTCAGGCTGGATCCATACCCACGGATAACAGCCAAATGGAGGAGCCCAGTAGTGAAGCCTCTGTTGTCTTTGGAAAGAGTCACTATTGCTCTAAGTTATGCCTACATACACTGTTATATTTACACTGTTATTGTAACTGCAAATTGATAATGATTGTTTAAAGGAATGTATTTGACAGTAAGAAGTGTACTGCTAATTCCCAGTTTTGCTCAGTTTAACATGCAGCACCATAATTAGCCTACTGTGGAAAGAGATAACATTAAACTAATTACTGTGTTTTAAAAAAGAACACAAATCACGGATTTAGCTCCCTGACATTTCGTTGCAGGCCGGCAGTGATCTGTCCTTACTTATGGTTATAATGATTCTGTCCGGTTGAATCGGATCATAAGACTTTCTCATCTGTAATGGCAAAAACAGCCGGTGGGCATTACCAGCCTAGCAAGCTTAGAGTGCTGTGACTTGAAGCTGCAAGAACAACATTTAAATGAGTGAACTTAATATGTTAATTTGCTCCTGTAAATGTACAATATAAAGATCTGATAGCACTTTTAGATGTAAATCCTGTGAAATCCTAAGTACTTGTTCCAATGAGTCAGTCTTTCCTTCCTGCTGTCCGTCCTCCCTTCCCCCCCAATATTGGAGAAACTGCAATCAAAAAGTCACCCCTGTCTCCCAAATGTGAGTGCTAAGTAGCCCCAGATGTGCCTCAACTCTAAGCAGAAAATTTGAGGTTAAGTGTTGGTGTAGGTTCTACAAAAATACCATTTTCTTCCTTAATATTTAATTCTTGGGTTGAGCTACAACTTTGTCACTTTGTTTTTTTTCCAGGACTCTTGTTTCATGTTCCTAAATGGTTATATTTATTTGTACTTAAGTCTTCAGCCTTCATTTTGTATTTATTTTTTCTAATTTTGTTGCAAGTAATGAAGGGGATCATTGTTTTGTAAACAAAAAATATTCATTCTATACTTAATAAAAATAATTCTTAAAATTTAAAAGAATTGAAGTATTAATGATCCAGTTACTATACTAGAATCTATGGTATTTACCTGTGAACATTTCTCTGCTGATTAATAAACATTTCTGGAGGAGGACTGTAGATATTCAAGTTGGGATAAAACTAAATAAATTGAGTAGGCAGTTTGTTTAAATTTGCTTCTTCAGTTTTACCATCGTGGAAATATTTTTTTTAATTGTAGAAGTTGGGGCATTTTGATGCTATTGTGTTTCCAGGAAACTAACTGGTCAGCAGAGGGAGCAGGAGTTCAGTGTCCAGACTATCCAGATTGTGCTTCCGTTAATTTGACAATTTACCTACATAAACATTTCCCTTTGGGCGTATATATAGAGAGAGGTGTTCACTTGTGACAGAAAAACCTCCCTCTTACATAACATGTGTGCTCCTGTTATGACCTAAAAACATGTAAGTGAACTAGAAATATGCTATCTGTATGAACACTGAAAAAAATAATTATAACAGACCAGCAGCAGAAGTGTTCATAGGCTCAGTCTTCAAAATTTAACTTCTTTTCCATTGTTTCCAATTGTTGGTGTTTCTTTTTAGTAAAGACAAAAGAGGATAATGGGGGGCAGTTTCCTCATTTCTCTCTCCTGATCCCTTTTGGATAATTTTTATGGATAACAAAATATTTGCCTAAAATTTGAGGAGGATTTTTGACGTTTTAATGTCTGTATGGGAGTTCTGTGTTCAGAACAGTAACTATGCTGAGAAGAACTGACAGAAAACCTGCACAGTCCTGCTGTTGCTGTCGGTATCGGTTGGTTCCTGGTCACACCAGTGTTATCTACTGTCTACTTCAGTAGAAAGTATAGAAAAATGCAAGCATGTCTGTCTGAATTTTTGCTAAATTCTTGTCTCTTGAATCTGGGAGAACCAGTTCAAAATATTTCCAAATTTTTCAAGCTATCAGGTAAGAATTGTTCCTGTTACTGTATTAGTTAATGACCTTTGGGGGATTTTTTGCAGCCAGTTGGCCTGCATTAGTCTAAAGCAGAGTATGGTTTCTATTCAGATGGAGTAAAGAAACTTCTTAGTAGGATGCTTGGCATTTCTGTAAGAGAGGGAAAAAGAAACAAAGCTTTTTTTGTGTGCCTTTTGGTGAAATTTTCTGAATTAGATACCGTGCAGAGGGGAAAGATGATGGCAACTAGCAATGCTTACAAGGGCACTGGAACCATATGCAGCAAAGTGGATCATAAAGCAAGCTCTGACAATCCAGCCTATATGTGGCTTTGGTGAGGTTTCTCCAATTCGCATAGACTAATTCCTGGGATAGATACATATCCATGGAGGTAGAAATCTCTAGTCTGACTGCATTAAAATTACATTCTAAATATGCATTAGGGTACGGTCACCGGGGGAAACTGAGCTCTGATTTTGCATGTTTTGTTCTGTTGATGCTAAGTCTGCTTTGCTTTTTGTTCTCCAAGGTGATCTTTGCTATAGAGTGCCAGTTGCATTACTATTCCATACTTCACAGTTGTGAAGCCTTTTTCTTAAGATATCTTAATTCTTTCTCTTTCTTCAATTTCAGTGCTTTGGTTTCATACCTGCAGAACTGAGGTTGGCCAGAAGATGTCAGTTGTATTTTGCAAAAGGAAAGCTGTGCTGCTGTGTTACTTCCATCTCTGACTATCAGGTTCATATTCATAATGCATGAATTTCAGGTGCTGTTATACAAATGAAAAACGAAAATCCAAAATACATTCTAAAACTACTTCATTCTAATACTACTTCAGATGTATGAATTGGGTAGTCCGAGCAGGAGTTTGATAGTCTGAGTCTTGTCAAAAACAGGTTTTAATGGCCCGAAGTACCCAAACTGGCTAAATTTTGAGGAAAACGGTTTCCTTGTCCTGGCACTGCAGAATGCAAGAATGTGAAATAGAGTTCAAGGCACCTGCCAAATCTCCTGGAGAGCCTCAACAGCCCAAGCAGGGGAAGGGCCTCCTGAGCCTAGGGGAGCTTCGCTCCATCCGGATCCGTGCGTCTCGCTCCTGCTGTCATGCAGCTCAGCAGCTGCAGGTGGCCAGAGCTCTGGCTTTGGTTGCTTTGCTGTGAACAGACCTACACCCTGGAAATTACTTTGATGGGTATCTTGAAGAGTCTGCTGCCGCAGGGAGATGGAGACCTCCTGTTCAGTATAGTTATTCCCATAGAGATATCTTGAGCTTTTTGTGACACACTGGCTGGCTGGAATTCTGAAGTATTCTGAGGGTTTGTGAAATTTTTGTTTTGGTTTGGTTTTATTGTTCAGTTCTTTATTCTGGCCATAACTGCCTGCAACTGATGCTCCTGTGACTGTCAGAGCTTGCATTTCTTATGTATTTATTCTGTTGTTCTTCCCTCTTGCTCGCTTTGCCCCCTCACTGCCTGCTCTCCCCCTTACTCCGTGGTTGGTTTTCTGTTTCTTGTTCCAGGCAAATGTTTGAGGGGGATGTGGCCGTCTTTAGAAGGCAGGAGGTGAGGGAATTTGAGGATGTGCTTGCAGCTAGATGTGCACACAAGTTTTTCCCCAGAGTTAAAGAAAAACCTGCTGTGATATCCACCAAGTGGACTTAACATAGACACGTGAGATCACAGCCTGCATCCCTGCAGCCTCTGCTCTTATCCTCCTGACTTACTGCCTACAGGAGTCGCAGTGAATCCCCACCGGACGGACGGCCAGAATGCCGATCAGTAATGCAGAAGTTGCTTCCCTTTTGGCTCTGGATTTGGCACCTCTTTGGCAGCTGTTACCTTTGACAGCAATGCCATAGAGCTCAGCAAATAGCAAAGCACTGAAGTGTTAATATAGTTGCTTTGTTCTCTGCATTATCACAGATAAAAGAAATATATAGCCTTTTGGTAGACCAACTTTACATTCTGTATTATCCCAAATTTGAGTCAGAGTCACGGTTGAGGCTCTGTTCTAACCTTTTAACCTTGAAAATAAAGCATTTGGGCAATACTGGAACTGGACTAAAAGATTAAACTGTGGACAGCAGTGGGGTTGACTATGATTGCTACGTTTTTCTGCTGCCATTTTGTAGAACAGAGTGTATGATCTCCTACAAAATCTGCAAAAACTGTCTTGTAGTGCCACATTGCTGCCTTTAACCAAATGTGCTACTAAAAGAAAAAGAAGGTTCGACTTCATTTTGACTAGAATTTATGTGCTTTTTTTCTAATGACGCAATATGAAGGAAAATGTCTTGAGTTATCTTCATTTCCTTTTCTGGAGAGTTAGTTAATTTTTTAAGTGTTTTTTTCCTCTCTCTCTTTTTATTTTTTTTTCCAACCAGGCTTTTAGAGGCATTCTAGTGTCATTTTCACTGAATGCTAGTAATAAATATTTCTGCCTATTCACCTGCCAACTCATCTTTTATTCATCCTGCTGATGTAAACAATCTCCCATGGAACTTAATGTTGCTGAAAGAATGCAATAACTGTCCCATTACAAAAGTAATATATCCTATTTCAGCCTAATGTAAGAATTCTCTATTACTTTGATATATTTTTTTAAGAAGTTTCAAATTTTAAGGTACTGACTTTAATTAAAGCAATGGAGAGAGGGCAATCCAATAAACGCCGCAACAGGTGAATCTGCACTTCCTTTATGTTCTTATTGCAAATTACCAGTGTTTGTATAAAATCAAATGACTGCCCCTATATTTCTTTCTAGATTTGCATAGCTGTACCTGAAATCCTTACTCCTCAAATGTTGTATTATCTTGTTATTACAGCAGTTGCACCATATATGCAGGAGAATGGCTACTCGTATGGTTTTATTTCTTGAGGATGAGAGCTGAGAATAAAATTCTTGGTGATATGCGGTCAGAGTGAGAAGTGAACACCCATGATACTATACTCTATTTTTCTTTTTTTTTTTCCAGTTTTTAATACATTATACAAATGTGTATGCTTTTTTTGAATATAGTTTGTGTTTTTGCAATATAAAAATGTGATTTTTATGTTATAAAAATAGAGAGGAGACAGGAAGCATTTATGTATAACAATTCAAATTTATTTTCACCTAAAGAGGTTTTCTGCAGTTCTTTAGTAGATGAAAACTTAGTGCCTTTGAGAGCTTTCCTGTGAACTTCCTTAGAGCATGATTTAATGTTTCTGATGCATTCGTTAGGAACATGTCAATGTCTGGTTCTGATTTTCCATATGGTCTTCACTGGAAAGAACATGTCAGTGATTCAGGTGTTGCCTCACAAGTCAGACCTCTTCAGGGACTTGGTTAATACTATTATTATCCCATTACACTGTGGCAGAGGGGGAAGTTGGCAGAGTAGAAACTGAACAAATGGCCTGGGATTTTTGGTTCCCTGGACTGGATTAGAAAATGGACTATTCTCTTTTTCCTTGAGATCACATGATATTTCCCTGGCCTAGCAACCTGGGACTGAGTCCAGAACCAATTGACCTCTCCTTGAAAGACTTGGAAGAAGTAAGAGCATGCAACTCCTGAATGTGA